AAACTGTAAAATGCTTCAGTGAAGACATTGGAATGAAATTCAATTTGGATAAATGTGCTAAAGCTACAGTTTTACGAGGATCGCTACAACAAACTTCCTCTATTAGTTTAGACCCTGCTGTAACAATAAAAGATTTAGAACAAGGAGAAGCTTATAAGTACCTAGGTGTAAATGAGAGTGAAGGAATTCACCATAAGAAAATGAAAAGAAATAGTGCGTAAAGAGTACTATAGAAGGGTGCGACTGGTATTAAAAACTGAATTGAATTCTCAGAACAGAATTATGGCCATTAATAACCTAGCCATCCCAGTGGTCCAATATAGTTTCAACATCTTGAACTGGACTCTAAATGACATCAGACAAATGGATTCTAAAACAAGAAAGCTTCTTTCTAAGTATAAGATGCATCATCCAAAGGCTGATGTAGACCGTCTATACATACCCCGTAAAAGAAGGTGGAAGAGGTCTTATTCAGCTAGAATTGTCATACAAGACAACAACTATTGGCTTACTAACTTACATGGAAACAACAAATGACTGGATGATAAAATTAGTGAAACAACATGAAAACAGAAAGAAAAAATATTCAATAATAAAAGAAGGCAGTAAATACAAACAACATTTACATTTAGTAGATTCTGTAGTAAATCAAAACAGAAGCCAAGAACCAACTATTGCAGCAAAAAGATAAAAAAAGAAAGCCAAGGATAAAGCCCTTGAACAGATGAAACAACGCTGGCAAGACAAACCTCTGCATGGCCAATATCCAGAACGTGCAAATAAACCCAATGTTGATAAAGTTAATACTCATCGATGGTTACGAGCATCTGGATTAAAGTCTGAAACTGAAGGCTTTATTCTTGCAGCGCAAGACCAGAGTCTTTTCACTAGGAATTTTCAGGCAAATATCATACATAATAATGTGGATCCAAAATGCAGGTTCTGTGACAAATACCAAGAAACAATAGACCATCTAATCTCAGGATGTTCTATACTTGCCCCCCAAATGAATATAAAAATCGTCACGATAGAGTGGGGCAATACTTACACTGGACAATGTGCAAACACTTTGGAAAATGTGTAAGCAAACACTGGTATGAACATCGGCCAGCGCCGGTTACAGAAATAGAAGATGTCACCATTCTATGGGATTATACCATCCACACAGACAGAAAAATTGAAGCAAATAGGCCGGACATTATTGTCAAAAACCAGAAAAAAAAAAAACTTGCCTACTAATTGATATGGCTTGTCCAGCGGATTGTAACATAGCAACCAAGGAATTTGAAAAACTATCAAAATACAAAGACCTGGAAATTGAAATAGAAAAAAATGTGGAAATTGAAAACAAGAATAATACCAGTGGTAATAGGTGCACTTGGAATTATAAAAAATGGAACAAAACAACACATTGAAAGAATCCTGGAAACCCCAGCTTAAGAGACATACAGAAAATTGTCTTATTAAGTACAGCACACACACTAAGGAGAACTTTGTCTATGTAACGCTAGCAACTTCATCGGAGATAAAAAAAAAAAAAAAAAAAAAAAATTAACATGTGGCCATAACAACACACCACGACCTGCCTTAGGTCTTTCCGCAGACTTGGTAGGTAGTGTGTCCATAGCAGAAATCGAATGATGATGATAATAATAATAATAAATAATAATAATAATAATAATAATGTGGCACATGGGAACATCAACAATCCCCGTTGTAGTTGGATCCCTCAGATAGGTTGGAAAAGATTCCAGTAGACAAATTGAAGGGATCCCTGGAAGCCAATGCCTTAAAGAAATACAAAAATTGTTCTCGCGAGTATAGCCCACACCTTACGAAGAGCTTTGTCTATGTAATTTTTTTTTCCAATGGAAAATGTCATGATGCCATTTCTAACCTTAGGTCTCTGAGCGAGACCCGGAAAGAAATGAGTACACATCAGAAATCAAAGGAAATCAAATAATAATAATTATAATTACAAATACATTAGACCTGGAGATCGAGAATAACAGGATGTGGGGAATGAAGACTGGGACTGTATGAATAGTAATCGGAGCTCGTGAGAAAAGGAATGACCCATTTTACTAACAGTGTTCCAAGTAACATCAACATACAATTTGCCCAGAAAATTGTCCTACTAGGAACATCCCATATACTAAGAAAAGCGCTATCAATTAAATAACAATTCTTCTATAGGGTCTAAGAACCATAGTTTGAACCCGGCTCTACAGTATTCAAAGCAGGAAACATAACATACACAAATGATATTAATAAAACTATCAAGGATCTTGAATGGAAATCTCATAAATGTGGCGCGTGGGGACATCAACAATTCCAGTTTTAGTTGGATCCTTCGGATTGAATGAAAATGGTTCCGATAGATTCATTGAAGGGATTCCTGGTAGACGAAGCCTTAAAGAAATACAAAAAAATGTACTTACAAGTACAGCTCACACCTTAGGAAGTTCTTTATGTAAATTCTGCGCAATCTTAGTTTGTTTTTTTTATTGGTAGGGGTGGTCAAAAATGATCAGTGGAAAATGTCATGAAGCTATTTCTGAGCTTAGATCTTTGGTTGGAACCTGGAAGAGAATATTTATACAATAATAATAATAATAATAGGGAACTGGAACAAAATGAAGCCTAATAGTACCTAGGAATTAGCGAAGAGGGTGTAATGCAGCATACCCATATGAAGGAGAATGCTACAAGCCTGTGCGTCTGGTACTAAATACCGACCTGATTTCAGAAAACAGAATATCGGTCATAAACACATTGGCTCTCCCTACAGTACTATACAGTTTCAACATCGTTAACTGGACCATTGCTGATATTAAGAGAATGGACGCCAAAACAAGACAACCTTCTCACCTCCCACCGCATGCATCATCCCAAAGGTAATGTCGATCATCTGTATGTTTTCAGATCCAAGGGAAGCAGAGGATTAGTTCAACTAGAACTGTCTTGTATTTACATTAGTCGGACTATTGTCCTCATCTTTGTCGCCATATTTGTCACAACGTTTCGGCCGTTGTACGCTCCGGCCTTCTTCAGGTGGTTGGAATTTCGAACTGGACCCTTTATTTCGCTCACTGGGGTAGACTGTTCTAATTCCACGTGCCATCCACTGTGCCATGTGTCCTCAAGGACACATGGCACAGTGGATAAAAAACGTTGGTTAGATCCAGTGACAGACCCAAAGAAGGTGAGTTCAATTCCTGGTTAAGGCAGTGGAGAACTTTCAGAGGGAAAATTAGCAGGAGATAACTGATAACTGACATCCATCAAACATGGCACGTGGAATTAGAACAGTCTACCCCAGCGATCGAAATAAAGGGTCCAGTTCGAAATTCCAACCACCTGAAGAAGGCCGGAGCGTACAACGGCCGAAACGTTGTGACAAATATGGCGACAAAGATGAGGACAATAGTCCGACTAATGTAAATACTGTACATAATACCTCATCTCAGAAATATAGACAAACTCTAGAACTGTCTTACAAAACTGCAACAATTGGCCTTCAACGTTCCCTGGAAACTACAGAAGACTGGATGATGATATGTGTACATGAACGTAGAAAGCGACTTTATTCAATGAACATGTGTACACGGAAGTAGGAAGCGACTTTATTCAGTAATAAAGGAAGCCACAATACACAAACTGAAGTTGCAAAATACTTAAAAAAGAAAGCAAAAGCAAATGCAATCGACCAGATACAGAAACAATGGCAAGATAAACCGCTTCATGGCCAATACTCTGCCCGTACTAAACAAGATGAGGTAGACAAACCCCATACCCATCAGTAGTTACGTAGTGCAGGGTTAAAAGCTGAAACCAAAGGTTTTATCCTTTCTGCACAGGATCAATGCTTGTTAGCTAGAAATTGTCATGCACACATACTAAAATATTATGTTGACCCAAAATGCAGATTCTGTGATAAATATCCAGAAACAATTGATCATCTAGTATCAGGTTGCACGATATTGGCACCCACTGAATATAAAACCTGGCATGAGAGAGTGGGCCAATATCTGCACTGGAAAATCTTCAACATCTGCTGAAAGAAAACTGCAAAAAATGGTATGAACACCACCTAGACCCAGTTATAGAGATAGGGCCTGTAACAATTTTATAGGACTTTACAATACACACAGACAAAACAATCAAAGCTAATCGCCCAGACATCGTGATTAGAAAACCCAAACACTAAAAGTGCCACCTTATTGATATGGCAGTCCTTGCATACTACAATGTATCTTTGAAGATCTTCAAATAGCTATCAAAATACAAGGACCTTGAAATCAAAATCTCAAAAATGTGAACATCAACAATACCAGTTGTTGTTGGAGTCCTCGGATTGGTTGGAAAAGATTCCAATAGGATCATTTAAGGGATTTTTAATAGAGAAATACAAAAAAAAATGTTCTCACGAGAACAGCCCACACCTTACGAAATGCTTTATCTATGCATAATACGCACGTTTTTTTTTTTTAAATGCTCAGTGAAAAATGCCATGACATCATTTCTGACCTTAGTTCTCTGGTCAGGACCCAGATAGAAATGAGTACACACCAGAAATCAAAGGAAATAATAATAATAATAATAATAATAATAATAACGAAATTAACCTATAACTAAATAATGTTCCATTAAATTTTTTGCTCTTTTTGCCTAATCTGTCTTGTTGTCTAATGGTAATCTTAGGGCTGATGGATATTACATTTAAGTAGAACCCCCTCTCTAAAAAAGCTGAACACTAATTGGTTAAATAATTCTAGTATCCTAGCTTAGTAGCAGTTAATTAAACCAAAGAAGGCATGAAACTTACTAATTGTTAAATGCACAGGGTGACCCCAAACGTTTGGTGTATACAGAATTGGGAGAAATATCATCGACAAGGAATTTCTGTACTGAATTATAAAACGATCGCCTACAAAAATGGTTTGTTTTGATTTCAAAAGTAAATGTCGAGCCTGTTGATATAATCTGGAAATGGAAAGATGTTCTTTGAACTTATCGAAGTGATATTGAGTGAACTGGTGTGAAGAATTCGGTTTTAAGTGTTAATAAAAGCAAAATATTGAAAACGAATTCATACATAATCTCATGGATATTAAATATTAAAAGGACGAAAAAAGTAGTTTTGAATTAATTTGATCCGTTTTTATTTCCTTGATTCTTTTAAGAGAATTTGTTTCTTTTTCTTCATTTCTCTTGACTTTCTTTGGATAGTCGCTTTTCTTTTCTTTTTTTGAGTACTATTTTTGTTTTTCTTTTCTGCATTTTCTTCCTTTCTTTACGACTTCCAATACTTTCCTTCTTCCTTTTTTTTAATTTCTTTCTTTCTTCATCATTTTTACCCTGTCTTTCTTTCTTTTTACCATTACTATTTCTTTCTTTCTTTCTTTCTTTCTTTCTTTCTTTCTTTCTTTCTTTCTTTTTCTTATTGTTTGATTTATTTCATCCTCTCCTTCTCCTGGTTACTTTCTTTCCATATTTCTTCATCTTTTTATCTTTCTCTCTTTTTTTTCTCTCCTTATTTCTTTCACTTTTCATTCTTTTTTCTCTCTTTGCTTTGTTTTCCTTACTTCATTCACATTCTTTTTTTTTTTTATCTTTCTATTTTTCGTTGTTTAAATTTTCTTTTTTCGCTTCCATTTTGTATTCTTTATCAAAATTGTTTTGGTCTCTTTGGAATCTTTCTTTTTTTGTGTGTGTGTTTACTTTTTCTTTCTTTTTTCTTTTTGCTTTTTGTTTTTCATTTTCTCCTTTAATCTTTCTTCCTTGCTTGCTTTCTTTTCCTTTCTCACCTTCCTATTTCTTTCTTCTTAATGTTTCCCTTTCTTTCTTTCTTTCTTTCTTTCTTTCTTTCTTTCTCATTTCTACAGTCTTCCTTTCTACCATTACTATTTCTTTCTTTTTCGTTTTTCTTTATTTCTTCTTTCTTTTCTTTCTCATTTCTTTCTTCCTTTTCATTACTATTTCTTTCTTTTCGTTTTCTTTATTTCTCTCTTCTTTCTTCCTTTCTTTCTTTCTTTCCTTTCTTTCTTTCTTTTTTCTTTTCCTGTCTTTTTCTTCCTTCCTTTTTTCCTTTCTTTTCTTCCTTTCCTTTCTTTTAATTTTTTCCTTTTTCTTTCTTTCTTTCTTTCTTTCTTTCTTTCTTTCTTTCTTTCTTTCTTTGTCTTTCTTTCTCATTTCTATTTCTTTCTTTTTCAATTTTTTCTTTCTTTTTCGTTTTTCTTTCTTTCTCTCTTTTTTCTTTCTTTCTTTCTTTCTTTCTTTCTTTCTTCATTTCTTTCTTTCTTTCGTTCTTTCTTTCTTTCTTTCTTCATCATTCCTACCCTGTCTTCCGTCCTTCCTTTCTTCCTTCCTTTCTTCTTAATGTTTCCCTTTCTTTCTTTCTTTCTTTCTTTCTTTCTTTCTTTCTTTCTTTCTTTCTTTCTTTCTTTCTTTCTTTCTTTCTTTCTTCATCATTTCTACAGTCTTTCTTTCTTTCTTTCTTTCTTTCTTTCTTTCTTTCTTTCTTCATCATTTCTACAGTCTTTCTTTCTGCCATTACTATTTCTTTTTCGTTTTTCTTTCTTTCTTTTTTCCTTTCTTTCTTTTTTTCCTCATTTCTTTCTTTCCTTTATTTCTTTCTTCATCATTCCTACCCTTTCTTTCTTTCTTTCTTTCTATTTCTTCGATTATTCTTTCTAATTGACTCTTTATTTATTTATTTTCATTTCATCCCGTACTATTCCTTTCTTTTTCTTCTCTTGCTCTTCCTTTTCATTTCTTACTTTTCTTTCTTTTAATTTCTTCACTTACTCTTTCTTTCTCTCTCTCTCTTTCTTTCTTTCTTTTAATTTCTTCGCTTACTCTTTCTTTCTTTCTTTCTCGCAGTTTACTTATCCACATACATTCTCGACATTCTTGTTATTTGAATCGCGAAACAACTGCTTTTACCTCACAACATTTACGCAAGGAAACTTGAAACATTTCTTTCATCTCCCAGAGACGCTCTCAGCCATTTTCAAAACTTTGATTTTCCTTGTCATGGCGATGCAAATAAATGAGCGAGTATTTCCGGAAATTGGCTCTCTTCCGGAAAAGTTAAAAATACAACCTTCATTCGACGCGTGATATCGACTACCGACAGGCCACGCAAATAAATGAAAACGTAGCGTTCAGAACAAATTAAACAGGCACGGAAGTTAAGCAACGTCGAGCATGGTTAGTGCCTAGATGGGTGACCGCTTGGGAATACCAGGTGCTGTAAGCTTGGATGAATAATGGCTCGGAATTGTTAAATGGAGAGCTGAGTTCCAATTCTCATTGGGTTCGTTATATTCAGTTGCACGGAAATGCCCTTGGGGAAGGTATCAATCCATCTCTACTCCTCCCAGCTATGGGTTAATTAGTAAGACTTTTGTCGCTAAATCATTATTATCTTCAAAAAACAAAATATACTTGCAATCTAAAAATATTTTCTGGCTTTAAATAACCTGCAAAGGGTTGATAAACCATAGAAAACGAATCGATTAATCAAAAAATGTTCGTTTGTCAGTTCATATGAAGTTTGACCTGCGAAACGTTCTGCTTTTCTTTTGGGAGATAGTTTTCATCAATCTGTTTTTTTTTAATACAATACTTCAAAGGGTTACTGAATATGGTTGTTACAAGTGTGTAAAGGGATGAAGTAAGCAGTGCATATTATGAGGATATGTAGGATAGATAATGAGATTTAAAGCGGTTAAGACCATAGTGATCGGGGATACATCTCGGGTATCTGTTCCACAGTGTAACAGTTCTGGGGAACTGAGAGGAACTTCTTCTTTACCAATGGAATAAGATGCGCTAATTAAAGATTGAGACAGGATAAGGATATTGCCCCCCCCATTTTTTGTTTATGTTTATTCTGTGTACTCCCCTGTGTAAAATATAGGATTTCAGTTTCACGACACTAAATGTTGCTATGGTTCACGTAACATGCTTTTTTTTATATAGTTAAGTTGTTAACCCCATCTTCTTCTATGCACCATTTTGGACGTTGGTGATCATGCCCCTCCACAATTTCCAGTTCTTTGTAACTTTTAGTAAATTTTGTTTTTTGCTATCTCTACTATTCCCTGTTCTGCCAACCATTTACACAAGCTCATTGGGTAGGTTATGCACTGATTTCCTCCGTTGCTTTCAATATGTCCTGCGAGTGTCAAATTTTCCAAGCCCTCTTTTCCCATTAGGTGCCCTAGAAATTTCAACTGTCTTTTTCTAATGTTAAATATTATGCTCCTTTTTGGTTCTATTTGGCGCGATGTAAATCTCTCCCATAAGCGGAGTGTGGCAAACCTCTCGCTCTTCTCCTGCTACTCCCACGGAAAGTACTCGGAAGTTGGCGATGATGGAGAATTTAGATACTGTATAGGGGGAATCCAAAACAGATACTTAGGAATGAAAGAAACTGTATAGGGAATGTGTGAGAATTCCAAAACAGATACTGTATAGGAAATGTGTGAGAATTCGGTATAGGGAAATGTGTGAGAATTCCAAAACAGATAAGGTATAGGGGAAATGTGTGTGAGAATTCGAAAACAGATACTGTATAGGGAAATCCAAACAGTGTGAGAATTCCCAAACAGATACTGTATAGGAAATGAGAATTCCAAAAACAGATACTGTATAGGAAATGTGTGAGAATTCCAAAACAGATACTGTATAGGGAAATGTGAGAATTCCCAAAACAGATACTGTATAGGGAAATGTGAATTCAAAACAGATACTGTATAGGAAATGTGTGAGAATTCCAAAACAGATACAGAATCCAAAACAGATACTGTATAGGGAATGTGTGGAATTCCAAAACAGATACTGTATGTGAGAATTCCAAAACAGATACTGTATAGGAAAGGGAAATGTGTGAGAATTCCAAAACAGATACTGTATAGGGAATGTGTGAGAATTCCAAAACAGATACTGTATAGGGAAATGTGAGAATTCCCAAACAGAACAGTATAGGGAACTGTATCCCAAACAGATACTGTATAGGAAATGTGTGAGAATCCAAAACAGATACTGTATAGGAAAATGTGTGAGAATTCCAAAACAGAAACAGATGAGAATTCCAAAACAGATACTGTATAGGGAAATGTGAGAATTCCAAAACAGATACTGTATAGGAAAATGTGAAATCCAAAACAGATACTGTATATGTGTGGAATTCCAAAACAGAACTGTATAGGGGTGTGAGAATTCCAAAACAGATACTGTATAGGGTGAGAAATCCAAAACAGATACTGTATAGGGAAATGTGTGAGAATTCCCAAACAGATACTGTATAGGGAAATGTGTGAGAATTCCAAAACAGATACTGTATAGGGAAATGTGTGAGAATTCCAAAACAGATACTGTATAGGGAAATGTGTGAGAATTCCAAAACAGATACTGTATAGGGAAATGTGTGAGAAATCCAAAACAGATACTGTATAGGGAAATGTGTGAGAATTCCAAAACAGATACTGTATAGGGAAATGTGTGAGAATTCCAAAACAGAAATGTGAGAATTCCCAAAACAGATACTGAGGAATTCCAAAACAGATACTGTATAGGGAAATGTGTGAGAATTCCAAAACAGATACTGTATAGGGAAATGTGTGGAATTCCAAAACAGAACTGTATAGGGAATGTGTGAGAATTCCAAAACAGATACTGTATAGGAAATGAGAATTCCAAACAGAACTGTATCCAAAACATTCCAAAACTGTATAGGAAATGTGTGAGAATTCCAAAACAGATACTGTATAGGAAATGTGTGAGAATTCCAAAACAGATACTGTATAGGGAAATGTGTGAGAATTCCAAAACAAATATTCCCCAAACAGATACTGTATAGGGAATGTGTGAGAATTCCAAAACAGATACTGTATAGGGAATGTGTGAGAATTCCAAAAACAGATACTGTATAGGAAATGTGAGAAATCAAAACAGATACTGTATAGGGAAATGTGAGAATTCCAAAACAGATACTGTATAGGGAAATGTGTGAGAATTCCAAAACAGATACTGTATAGGGAAATGTGTGAGAATTCCAAAACAGATACTGTATAGGGAAATGTGTGAGAATTCCAAAACAGATACTGTCCCAAAACAGGAAATGTGAGAATTGAGAAAACAGATACTGTATAGGAAATGTGAGAAATCCAAAACAGATACTGTATATTCCCAAAAAATTCCAAAACAGATACTGTATAGAATGTGAGAATTCCCAAACAGAACTGTATAGGGAAATGTGAGAAATCCAAAACAGATACTGTATAGGGAATGGAAATGTGTGAGAATTCCAAAACAGATACTGTATAGGGAATGTGTGAGATCCAAAACAGATACTGTATAGGGAAATGTGTGAGAATTCCAAAACAGATACTGTATAGGGGAAAATGTGAGAATTCCAAAACAGATACTGTATAGGGAAATGTGTGAGAAATCCAAAACAGATACTGTATAGGGAAATGTGTGAGAAATCCAAAACAGATACTGTATAGGGAAATGTGTCCAAAACAGAGAAATGTGAGAATTCCAAAACAGATACTGTATAGGAAATGTGTGAGAATTCCAAAACAGATACTGTATAGGGAAATGTGTGAGAATTCCAAAACAGATACTGTATAGGGAAATGTGAGAATTCCTAAAACAGATACTGTATAGGGAAATGTGTGAGAATTCCAAAACAGATACTGTATAGGGATGTGTGAGGAATTCCAAAACAGATACTGTATAGGAAATGTGAGAATTCCAAAACAGATACTGTATAGGGAAATGTGTGAGAATTCCAAAACAGATACTGTATAGGGAAATGTGTGAGAATTCCAAAACAGATACTGTATAGGGAAATGTGTGAGAATTCCAAAACAGATACTGTATAGGGAAATGTGTGAGAATTCCAAAACAGATACTGTATAGGGAAATGTGGAGAATCCAAAACAGATACTGTATAGGGAAATGTGTGAAATTCCAAAACAGATGTGTGAGAATTCCAAAACAGATACTGTATAGGGAAATGTGTGAGAATTCCCAAACAGATACTGTATAGGAAATGTGTGAGAATTCCAAAACAGATACTGTATAGGGAAATGTGTGAGAATTCCAAAACAGATACAAAACAGATATAGGGAAATGTGTGAGAATTCCAAAACAGATACTGTATAGGGAAATGTGTGAGAATTCCAAAACAGATACTGTAAGAAATGTGTGAAGTGAGAATTCCCAAACAGATAAATGTTGAAAAATCCAAACAGATACTGTATAGAAAAATGTGAGAAATCAAAACAGATACTGTATAGGGAAATGTGAGAAATCCAAAACAGATAAGTGAGAATTCCAAAACAGATCTGTATGAAAATGTGTGAGAATTCCCAAACACATACTGTATAGGGAAGCATCTGCCATCGATGAAAAAGTGTACACACACACACACACACACACACACACACACACACACACACACATATATATATATATATATTGATGTATGTTTCATTAAATGATAAACAAGTTTTGTCCATTTACTTTATGTAAATTCCTTTCATATCGTCTGATGAGCTTAATAACATTATCATTGAAAGACGAAAAAAAATCACCATATTGATGCATATTTTTTAATCCTATCTAAGCTTTCGGTTTACATAAGCCATTATCAAAGATGACAATTATATTACAATATA